TGTTGGCATCACAAAGGAAATCTGAGTGTTGGCTTGTAGAGAATTAGTGACACTTACGGAACCCTGGTTAAATAAAGCAAATCAGCTACATACAGTAGTGTTTTCCAAGATGAATTAGATATTAACATACCGTAGGAACCAATTATGTGTCACCCTTAAACCTAGAGAAGAAAGCCACAGTTCAGGTTGTAAACGTTAAAACAATGCTGGTATTGACCTGTACTTTATGTGTACTAAATATAACAACTATATCTCCACTAATGATAGGAAAGAATTCAGTGTAGTTTTATAGAGTTAACTATCAAAAGATGTAAGAAAATTTTATGCTTATACTATTAAAGATACAGAGCTTGGGAATGGGAGAATACAAGAAGAAATTGTTGAAATCTTAAACGCTTGATGATGAAGTGCCAAACCGCAACCCCAAACCCACTTGTCACAGTGTCAACACTGCAATTAAACCTGAGCACTAAGGTTTTAGTTTAGAAAAAAAGCAGCTCTACATTAACATCTAGAAACACACATGCCATAGCTTCACCGCCACTGCCTTACACTATATAATGTGAGACACAGGACAGAGGGGTGGTATGTAGGATCTTCTTGATAAGTAAAAAGGCATCTGAAGGGCTGTGATGTCACGCAGTGGTAAGAATGCACAAGGCGCTGGGGTTCTCAGTTCCCAGCACTGCAAAACGGTAACAACAAAACTAAGATGGGAGAAAAGGATGCCTACAGAATTAGGTAAAGGTGGGAGAAAAACCGGTAAGATGCGATAAAAAGAGGGAAGAAAAAAGAAACCATGTGGGGGGTAAAAGTGAGAAAAAAATTACAGGCAGAAAAATTAAAGGAGAAAGAAGAAAAACTAGAGGATACATAATTAAAAAATAAATAGCAAGGAAAGGAAAAAGGAAAATTACCTAACTCAAGTAAACTGGTGAAAAAGAAAGGAGGAAGGAAAACAAGCAAAAAAAAACCAAAGGCAAAACAAACTTAAAGACAACATACAAAGAACAACAACAAAAAAGTTACTCTGTGATTTCAGACATGCAGTTCTTCTCTGGGACTATAATCCTGGGACAGTGGCCAGGTCAGCATGGGACCATGCTCGTACCTGCAGATAGACATGGCAGCAGACCCTGCACTGGAGCAGGTGCCAGCAGGCGGCAGGATTAAGGCAGGGACACCATGCTGCAACCTTCCAATCCAGGCTGAGCCTGACCTCCTGCCATGGGGGCAGGGCCTGTGTCCTTTAGCGTAAAATCCCTCGTGGGCCTCCTGATGGTGGCTGATTCCTGTGGCTGGCTCTCCTCCAGACCCTGGGACAATGGAGCCCCAGGACTGCTGAATTGAAGCCATCCCACAGCTGCTCTGAGTTCGGGGCTCAGGTAATCGCACTGCTGCGGACTAGTGTTTGACCAAGCGTCATCTCCAGGGAATGTGATGGGCGCTTAGACTGGAGTCACTTAGGGCCGATGTCTGTCAGAGGACTTGTGTTGGAACAGCTCCTGTGCTCTCACTACAGCTTGTACCATCCGCTGGTCCATTCTGCTGCTTTGTTTTCCCCACGACCCTGCAGTTTATTGTCATGAATAGGAGTTAGATTTTGTCAAGTGCTTTTTCTGTATCTGTTAATGTGATCATGTGTGTTTTCTTATTTATAATTAATTGCATTAGTTGATTTTTGAAGATTGAACCTATTTTGAATACCTAGGATAAATCCCACTTGGTACTTGGCATATAATTTTTAAAATTTGACTTGCTAAGGTTTTGTTAAGGATTTTTCCAGTCAGTGTTAGTGAGACATACTGGTCTGTAATTTTTCTGGTATTAAAGTAAGGCTGATGTCATAGAATAAGAAAGTTTTTCACTTACCTTTTAAAACAGATCATAAAATGGGCATAGTGGCACACATCTGAGTCCCAGCTCTTAGGAGGCTGAGACGCCCAGAATCACCACAAATTTGAGACCAGCCTGGGCTGTGTAGGGAGTCCAAGGTCAGCATAACTACATAGTGAGACCCAGTCTCAAAACAAAACACACAAAACAGGTTATAGAGAATTGTTATACTTTCTTATTTAAACATTCAGTAGTTAATCTACCTAGAACTGTTGGTTTCTGTTGGGAAAATTGTTGATTATTGCTTCAATGTCATTAATACCGTCCTTTCAGACTTTTCTTGTGTGAGTTTAGGCATACTGTGTCCAGATTACCCAGACATCATCCAGATTGTCAAACTTGTTCATACTGTTCCTTTATTCTTCTAGTGGCCATGAGATCTGGAGTTGTTTTCACTCCTTTCTGGTATTGGCAATTTGTATTCACTCTCTTATGTTTTAATTAGTGGCTTATTGATTTTATTGATGTTGCAAAGAACCAGCTTGTGATTTCACAGATTTTTTTGTTGTTGTCGTTGATATCTTATTTTCAGTTTCACTGATTTCTACTCTAAATTCTGTTATTTCTTTTTCTTTTGCTTACGTTGGACTTCATTTGCTAGGATTATCGGCCTGTGTGCCAGCACTTAATTTCCACTTTCTCTTTCTGTTCCTCATAATGGCCAGGCCACCCGAAAGGCTTTCTTTGTGGTCGTACTGGGGATCAAGCCTACAACTTCACACCTGCCAGAGAGGCACTTACATCACTGAGCTAAATCGTTGGCCCCTTTTTTGTCTTTTTCAGACAGTCTCACTATAGTTTAGGCTGGCCTTGAGCTCACCTGATAGGCGAGCCTGGTCTCAAACCCACAATGATACTTCTGCCTCAGCCTTCCAAGTGCTGGGCACCTGAAAGACTTCTATATTGTGACACTGAAGTAAGTTTCTGAAGAATACACTGTCTAAAAGTTTTTTTTTTTTTTTATCGGTACCGGGGATCAAACACGACTGCCTGCTTTCAAGGCAGGCGCTTATGCCGCTGAGCTAAACCCCCAGCCCCTAAAGTATTAACAGTTTAATTTGTACAACTGTATCCATATTTATTTTTTTTAAGATCTGGTGAGCATGGTATCACATGCCTATAATCCCAGCACATGAGGCTGAAGCAGGAGGATCACCATGAATTAGAAGCCAGCCTGAGCTACGTAAGCAAACTTAAGACCAGCCTGCACTATATAACAAGATGCTGTTTCAAAACAAAACAATAGCAATAAAAACTGATGGTGTAGTGTGATGGTAGGGGAGCTGCTAGTGGTCATAACTGTTCCCAAAGTAGATCCACTGTCACAGCGATGGTAGTGAACAGCCCAAAGGCTAGACAAAAAAGAAAATTTTTTTCTGGTGCTGGGAATCGAACTCAGGACCTCATGCTTGCCAGGCAGGCTCTGTGCTACTGAGCTGTATTCACAGCCCACAGAATGTTTAAACAGGGATTAAAGCTGGGTTAGGGCCGTTTGCCTGTCATTTCTCCTACTAGTGAGGCTGAACCACAAAGACTGCAAGTTGCAGGCCACTCTGTCTCAAAAGACAATTTAATAAAAGGGCTAAGAGGATAGTTCATTGGCAGAGTGCTTGCCTAACATGCATGAAGACCTCTGTTCAATCCCCAGTACCAAAAACCACACACACAAAAAGTTATGTGTGTTCTGCTTTGTGATAAAGCCCATCTTACGTAACTTAGAAGGCCAACCAAATGGGGCCTGTGGTGTATTAGTGATCAATTTCAATCTCTTATAGTTTCCACTTATTGAAAGTGACCAAAGACTTCTGTTTATTAGCTCATTTGTTCATTAGTATGTGTTTCTCAGCATCCTGTTCCTTCTCTGCCCTGTTTCAGTATTTTTAATATATGTTCTTTAATCCAAATTGATAGTCAGATGACATTAATATTCCAGTTTGAGGACTGGGGAGGTTACATATAACCTTGAAATAAAATGTTCATTAAGTCATGCTTTTAAGCTCCCCAAGGAAGTCCTGGTAATTATAATGCAGCTTTACTGTGTTTAAAAAAAAAGCCATTAAAACTTTTTTTAAAAATCATTAATGCTTTTTTTCTCTCCCAAGAGCTAGCTTATTATAAACTTCATACCCCTTCAGTTCTTTTTTTATCCATAGCTTCTCTATAATATATTAATTGGGGCTAAATGAAACACCTCAGTCATTTCTGAGGTGATTATGCTAATGAATTCACATAAGCAATGAGTCTGCAGCAGCTGGTGTAAGGTTGTTGTTGCTAATTAGTGATCTCTTTGGACTAAGGATTTTGTAAACTTGTACTCAGTCGACAAGTCTTGGCAATAAGAAAACTACTCTGTAGTGCTTGTGTTGTGGTGAACTGGGCTTAGGGATCCATTTTTTCTTTTGTTTTGGTTTGTTTCAGGAGGCTGACTCATTTCTTTAAAAAGATACCCTTTATAGACAGTGTAGTGGCACACACCTGTAATCCCAGCCTTTGGGAGGCAGAGGCAAGAGGACTGCCATGAGTTCAAGGCCAACCTGGGCTACATAGTGAGGTCCTGTCTCAAAAAAAGATAACCCTGTTATAACTTGTTTCCTCTTGGTTTATTACAAGCATTAATATTAATAAATTTGAATTTTGTGTGCTTTCACTTTCTTCCTTATTAAAATTGTGAACTACTTATTAAATGTCTTCAAAGAGGTAGGAATAAAAAGCTAAGGTTCATATAATGAGAACACAACATAAAGTCACTAGTGTCTTGGTTACTGTAAAAGTAGATAGTCAAACACTCTTGGGGCTTGATGATTATCATTTATAACCAGCTGGTAGTGACTGGCATAATTTCACTTTTTTGCTATACAGAAGCATGTTAGCAAGAGAAGCTTAAGCATTTCTCCAGATGTAAGCAGAAATACATTCATTTAAAGTCTCACTCATGCCTGGCGTGGTGGCGCATGCCTATAATCCCAACCCTCAGGAGGCTGAGGCAGGAGGCTCACCTGGTTTACAGAAGTGAGTTCAAGGCAGCCTACACTAACATAAGACTGTCTCAAAAATAAAATAAATAAAACATGATACAGTCTAACTCATATCTTCTCTTCCTAAAGGTGCACTTACAGAGTGCTACGATGAACTGGGAAATAGATACCAGCTTCCAGTCTATTGCTTGGCACCACCAATCAACATGATAGAGGAAAAGAGTGACATAGAGACTCTGGACATTCCCGAGCCACCACCCAACTCTGGATATGAATCTCAGCTCCGTTTGCGCCTTTCCACTGGCAAAGACCTCAAACTTGTGGTACGCAGCACAGACACGGTATTCCACATGAAGAGACGGTTGCAGGCAGCAGAAGGGGTGGAACCCAGCAGTCAGCGGTGGTTCTTCTCGGGAAGACCTCTCACCGACAAAATGAAGCTGGAGGAGCTGAAGATCCCAAAGGACTATGTTGTGCAGGTTATAGTGAGCCAGCCTCTGCAGAATCCAACCCCGGTGGAGAACTGAACTGGCCCTGTCTGCTGGTTCCCACATCGCTCTCCTCCTTTTTATTGTTGTCATTTCCTACTCTGTGGCGTGAAATTTATTTTCACTGCTCTAAATTCCCTATGAATGGATTTAGTTCTGAGGAATTACCAGTGAAAAATTCCATCTGTGATGGAGACCAACAAAAATAATAAAACACAAAGAGCCAGCCTTTGAGACTCATGTAATTATAATTTCTAAATTGAGGCAGTTAAGAAATAGATAACCATGTATTTTAGAATACTCATCAAATACAGAATAGCTGTATTTAAATGATTTGGACTGTAAATGAAACATTGTACCCATGCAAAACAGCACCAAGCACCTTTTGAATACAGTGGGTTTTTTAAAAAATATATATCAAATTATATAATTTCCAGAAACAGTAACCCTTACAAAACTTCTTTTTTAAAAAAAAATGGAATCTGGAAAGAGCAAGATGTGAGGTTTGCTTCTATTTTGGTTTTTATTCTAGCTTATTTAGTCCTAAGGAGTAAAGACTGGCAAATTGTGTTTCAGTGCCCCTTCCCCATTGTTACACGTGAGACTCCTTATTTACAGTCACACAAAATTTTGGTGCCTTCCACATGTTTGTGGCAGGCGGCCTTCTGGAACACTAGGCAATAATGTAGTCAGTGCAGTCAGATTTCTGATTTTCAACTGATAGGCAGTTGAAAACGCTCTTGTTCTCTTGCTGCATAAATGTTTTGAAGTCTATAGAGAAGCAGTTTTCATATTCAGGCTTAGAAGGTCAGTACTATATATATATATATAATATGCCTTTATCGATGTATCTACTCTGCTTGGACCTTTTTGTAGCTAACTCTGACCCAGATGAATAGCTCCTGGGCCAGAAAACTAGGAATCTAGGACAGCTGTTTCCACCACAAGATAACAAAATGATCTCTCCTCCACTGTGCAGGAGTGGGATACGGAAAACCCATTCTTTCTGTGCCTGTGAGAACTGTGCCTATTTTCAGTTTTCTAGAGAAAATGTCAACTCAGAATTTACAAATGTGAGAGGTTTACTGGTGTCACTTACTCCTAGTCACAGTGGATGAAGGTTTTCCTCCCTCATCGTTCATAGCAAAGAGACAGATGAAGAATCACCTGCAAATTAGATTAGGGGATTAAAAATCCAGCAAGATAACCTGATTCTTCTGGAGCAGCGGTGCCAGGAAGGGACTGTCAGGTCCCCTTAAAGGTTGGTTCCTTAAGTGAGAAGGGGACTAGCATAACCTCACCGCACCCCTGAGAATGCAGGAGATTGAAAAGCAGAGGCAATAAGGCACTATTCTCAGTCAGGAAATATCAAACTGCCACAACTATTTGGATGTGAAGCATTGTTATTAATTTTAGTGGCAAAATGAAACCGAATTAGTTTAAATTAATATTTCAAATGGTATTAAATTTCCTATGGCCTGCATAAATATATCTGTAACTGTGACTTATGTTTCTGAGAGCTTTAACTACTTCCCTAATTTTATTCAGTCATTTTAAGGATTATAGCTAGGTCTAGTTTAGGTTTGCTGAGGGTTGAATCGAAATTCAAGAGAGCAGCATTAATTCCAAAGGAGAATTTTTATATTTAGAGGTGGAGATAGGAAGATACTTTGATATGTTAGCCCTGTCATCAAAAAAGGTTTTGCACATTTGTGTCCCATATCAAGTAGTAGCATCTCTCAAAATTCATCAACTGGAAAAAAGTGTTTAAACTTATTTTTTCTTAAAGAAATTTGGTGATGTCATCAATAATATATGGTTCATAAAAGGTCTTGTTTGTTCATTGAGGATTTCACCTCTCTTTAAGAGTTCACTTCATTTTAAAGGAACATATATACCTTTAACAATTCTCTGGACATGTTTAACCTAGGTGAGAAACCATGGTGCTGTTTAACTGTCAATAGACTGATACAAGATTGGACCAATCAATACTTGATTGTATAATTTCAGTATGTAGGGTTTTTGTGTTTTTTTAAAAAAAAAGTTTGATTTTTCTCTTTTGTCTTTGCCTTTGTTCTGAATTTTTAACTTGCTCTCTATGTAAGGGTAATTCACCTCAATTTAATGAGACATGACGTTATGAAGGTTTTTTGGTTTTGTTTTTTTTGGTACTGGGGTCGAACTCATGACCAGGCAGGCGATTGTACCTCTACACTAAATTGCCAGCAGAATAGAGATTTTCGTCCTAAAAACTCTGCTAAATAACAAGATCTTTATTAACAAAACTTCAGCTCTGCTGTGGCAGATCATCCATTGTCATTTGTAGATGTGTTTCTGCAACAGCAAGCAGAAACACCAAAATGACCCCCAGGATTTGGACGCAGATTTATTTCCATCAACGGACACTGATTGGGTTCATCCCCGCACTCTCAGGCCCTAATCTCCGGTGGTCCAGGGCTTGAGGTGCAAAGGTGAAACAGAACAGCCTAGCAGTTCTGATTAGCAGGCAAGTCAACCGTTACACAGATAGATTAATGGTCATCAGCTCATGAAGCTTGGTACAGTGGTACAATCAGGCACCCTGCATGTTCGGTTAAGCTGTCGTCCTTACAGGGGTCCAGAAAGCTGTTACAAAGCCATGAAGCAGTTCCAGAGCTAGGCAGTTTCAAAAGAACAAAGTTTTAAAAAGAACAATTTCTCAGGCTGGGGATTTTTAGTTCAGTGGCATAAGCACCGGCCTTGCAAGCAGGCGGCTGTAAGTTCAATCCCCAGTACTGATTTAAAAAAAAAAAAAAAAAAAGAACAATTTCTCATGCAGTTTTTCCCTTTCACTTCATCTTCTGTATTTGAAATCTTAATTTAAAATAAGATTTTTTCCCCCTCTCAAGAATCATGCTGCAGATCAAACCTCACAATTAAGTTTTTCTGAAGGGGTGGGGCGTGAAGGTTTGAGATGCTAGAGATTTGGGCTTTGCATGTGCTAGGGAAGTGCTGTACTGCTTAACTCAATCCTGGCCTCTTTTTGTTTTGAGATGGTCTTGCTGGGGTACCCAGCCTAGTCTTGAACTTGCAATTCTGCTTTAGCGGCCCTAGTAGCTGGAATTACAAGTGGGCACACTGCCAGCTTTTGTCATGTTAGATTTTTATTTACAATAGGTGATACATGCCCATGAGAAAAGGCTCAAACATACCAAGTAGAAAGTCTGTCATCCATTCCTGAGCCTCATCACCTATTTCTTTTCCCTAGAGGTAACAAGTGTTCTAAGTAGCCTTTTCTCCCCTCCATTCCTGTTCTCTTCCCTTTTGTATTTTACTGTACATTGCTAGGGGTTTAAACCCAGGGCCTCAGGCATGCTAGGTAAGTGCTTTACCACTGTGCCACATCCCAGCCCTCTGATTGGCTTTGTAGATACTTTAGGCCAGACAGAGTAGCACAGGCTATAATCCCAGCTATGTAGGAGGCTGAAGCAGAAGAGTGAAAGGTTTGTGGCCAGCCTGAGCAACTTATGTCAAGACCTTGTCTCAAAAAAGGGCTGGGAATATGGGTCAGCTGTAGAATTTGTCTAGCATGTGTGAGGGCCTGGGTTCAATTCCCAGTATGGAAAAAAATCCCATAGTGGGTCTCAAAACTTGCACATATATCAGCTCCCAACTCGATTGGGATTCTAAGCGTGTGCTGTCAGCCTAGGCTGACCCAATTTTTTTTTTTTTCATTTGTGGCAATCAGGTGAGAAAACTTGTCTTGTGGTTTGACTTTGTGTTTTTCTTACAAGTGAGGTTTGACATTTTACTTTGTATTTTTAAAGTATATTTTTTTCTTCTGTGAATTGTCTGTTTGCCCATATTCTTTATGCATTTTGGTCTTTTCTCTTTCCATAGTAAGGAAATTGTTCTCATTGCTCTGGGTGTGGGTGTGTGTTTCATTTGTCTTGCACAAAGTTGAAGTTTTTCATGGTCAGAGCCCTCAGTGTCTTATCGCTTATGGGTATTCTTCCAGAGATTGTCCCCATCCTGAGATTATACAAATCTTTCATGTTGTTTTCTTCAGTGGTTTCATTGTTACATGGAGTTTATTTCTGTGAAGAGTAAAACAATAGTCCAAGATAGTTGTCCCACTTTTCCTGATGTTACTTTTTTGTTACTTTTGTTTTTGAGACAGGGTCTTGCTGTGTAACTCAGGCTGGCCTTGAATCCACTACGTAGCCCAGGCTGGCCTCGAACTCTCGGGTGCTGGGACTACCGGCGTGCACCACCACACGCAGCTGATACCACTTACTGAAGTCATTTTCACCCGTCTTTTTCCCATTCATATGGGGCGGGAGGAAGCCCTTATTTTTATCATGGTTTTTTAAATGGTCTTTTCCTGTTAACTGGATAAATGAGCAGGTATGCCTTGTGTCTATTTCCGACTGCCTAACACTGTGCTTTAATATTGTTATTTACTGAGAAGAGAAAGGGAGAAAGCGCAGCCCTTGCTTCGCCCAGTCTCCTGTGGCTGCAGTTCTGAACCTCCATTCCGTGATAGGGCCACCTTACCCTGTCATTCCTCTGGTTCTGTAAGTGCCTCTCAAGTGGTAGTCTTTGTTATCTGAGCCTTATGATGGTGAGAAAACCAGAGAGCTAAGCAGTGATGGAAAACTGCTTCACTTCGCTGCTTCCGTAATTCCTTCCCGAGAGAAACTGCTGTAGCCCTGGGCGGAAGCACAGCTGAGCGGTGTCTGTCCCATCAGGCCTGCCCTTCACATCCCCTGCAGCACTGCCCCTCCCTGCTGCCTGCATCCCAGAACACAGACGTGACCAGGAAAGCTGAGCGCAACAAAGGAGGCCCAGTGAAGTAGCCCCAACCAAAGCATCCACGCACTCTGGGTTTGTGTGCTCGTGCGCAGAGGCTGGAACCCAGGGCCTCAGCATGCCGAGCACCGTCTCAGCCCCTTTAAAGTCATAGGGTCCTGAGGTGACACGGATGGGTTGCTTTCTTTTGTATTCTCTGTCCAAAGAAGTGTCACTTCACAGGTACACTGGAATTTTTATTCTACTTTGAGCCCATCAGAGGTAAGTGTTGTTTCCAGACACCATTTTAAGAAAAATACCCATTCTTTGAAGTCTGTAAGAGGTCTTTTGGGGCGGGAGTGTCTTTGTTTTTCTTCTCTTTGTTTTGGAGATGGATTCACTATGTAGTCCATGCTGATCTCAAACTCGCTGGGAAGCCTGGATTGATCTTGAACTTGCAGTCTTCCTGCTTCAGCTTCCCAAGTGCCAAATGCTAAAACTGATAGCCAGCTCATGATACCTGTTACAATTCACCCTGATTTTGGGAGGAGAGAACTTAGACTATTATACTTACTATGGTTGGCTCTCCCATCCTTTCTGCTCTCATTCTGAAACAATGAAGGATACAGCATTTCCATGATTTAGTGGCAGTGTCGGAATCGGCCATGGTTACCGTTTACTTAGTGCCTTCCCTGGAAGATGGAAGAGTGGCTTTCTCCTTGTAAGTCTGTCTCCAGAACCACAGGTAGACCATAAGGCTGTCTGCTGACAAATGCCATCCAGGCTACCACAAAAAACACTAGAAACCTATGGTAAGACAAATTCAGTAGTGAGGCACTAGACTAGGGCTAATGGCCAGTGCTGTGTTCGGCCAGACAGGGGCAGTCTCAGTACTCTGTAGGTAGGAGGGCAGGGCAGTTGCAGACCGCTCAAGCCAGAAAAAGGGAAGAACTCTGTTGTGAAATGCAGTGAACTTCGTGTATCTTCACAAGAATTCCATTAGAGAAAGAACCATGTGGAAAACACATGAGGTCACAAGCCTCAGGTTGGTGGGGGTTTTGCTAGTTTGATTCCATTTTTATGGTACCATTGTGGGGAAGAAGGGTTTGGCTGCCTTTCGCATTAGTCATGCTTATAAGCAAGTTATCCAAACCCCGTGTCTAATAGAATAGATACGGAGAGGTAGGCACAACAATACATTTCTGTAAGTCTGACTTATGAATGACAGTCTTAAATAAGCAGTTTTATTTATTTACTTTGGCAGTCCTGGGACTGAGTCCAAGGCCTTCGATGCCCTGACCTTTAGCCCCAGCCTTTAGTTTTATTTTTTTGCTTTGAGTCAGGGTCTTGCTGAGTTTACCAGGCTCACCTCCAACTTGCAGTCCTTCTGTTTCAGGTCCCAAGTGGCTGAGGTGACAGATCTATGCCACTGCAGCAGGCTGTGAACCAGGTTCTTGCCTGTCACATCTGGACACAGTATAATAAATTTGGATATTTGACACTATTAGGTGCTCTGGAACTTGTTGAATATTTTAAAATCAGTTATATAACATACCCATAACTAAGAAGTCGTTGATCTATAATAAATGACTTGTATTTTTTCAACTCCTGTGTTCATTCCTGAGAAATTTATGGTAGGAGATGTGGCAATTAATCTAAAGTAAAATGAATTTCTGAGCAAATCAGCTGTCAGCTTAAAACTTGGACAGAATCTGCTAAAACTCAAGTGAGCTAGATCCCTGGCTGGAGTCACTAGCAAGCTTAACTGACCTAGCACTTGAATCCTGGCTCTATCCCTTGTTAAGTCAGATAGTCTTGGCTAAGATTCTTAACCTTTCCTCATCTGTAAATTGAGGATAACAACACCTACTTGACAGCGTTGAGAATAAGCTATGCCTCCAAATCACCGCCTAACACGTAGCAAGCACATACTATATGTAGTTGTCAGTGTTACATCACAACACAATCAGGTAGAGATTAACAAATCTTGTGCTGAAAATAATATGAGTACCCAAGGCATCCATTATATAAGAATTAAAATTATGCAAGGGCATTAGTAATTGTTTTACTGTAGTAGGTTTGGTTCAATTGCCTAAGTGCCTAACTCACCAGAGAGTAATTCAGTCTCCAAGAAAAACACTGCCTTAGCTAGGTATGTGGTACAGTTCTGCGGGCCTAGTTACCCAGGAGGCAGAGGCAGAATGACCTCCCCAACCTGCAAATTCAAGGCTGGCCTGGGCCATGTGTGAGACCCCACCTTGGAAGAAAAAACAGCATATATTTAAATATCGACTTCCCTCATGGTTCTAGGCATGTTAACATTGTCAGTGTAAAGTCTGATATTTGAGTGATTTTAGCCTAAGAAATGGGGCACTAGAAAGGATTCGGGGTGTTGGGTCATGAAAACAGCTCCCCCTGCCTGGCACCAGGGAGAGTCGGCCGTTATTTGGATGCACCAGCACCCAGTGAGCAGGGCTGGCCTGAAAAAGCATCAGCAAAATCGAGTCCTATCCACAAAATGAAAGCGGTTGCTCAGAGCGGAGAGCCCTGGCCTGGCAAGCCCGAGGCCCTTGGATTCATTCCACACGCTGCCAGAAAGAAAGCCAGCCGGCCACTTTGCACTCATTTGGGCCCTCTGAATACAAGTCAGTGTAAAGACACCCACACTGATGACATTGACTTTTTGAATGTGTTTATTTTCAAACAGTTTGAATTAATCATATCATTTCTGAGGGAAAGGTCTTCTCAGAAATCTGCTTACAGCAATTTGACACATAACTTTCTTGAGCTGAGATCTGAATCTGTTTCTCTTATCCTCTTTCATTCTCTCCCTCTGCTTTTCCTTGGATTTTTCATTGGCAAAGATAGTATATATCTTAAATTCATTGTAGTTAAGACGCTTTTATTGGGGGAGGAAAAGAAAAATTACTTCAGGAGCGATTTGATACAATATGTGATACAGATGACAACAGGATTGCAACCCTTATTTTGCCACTTGTAAAGGAGGCCAAGTATCCTCCTCGGGTGCTCATCGTTCCCCAGCGTGCCCCCCACTCCCCTGTTCTGCATCACAGACTTCCCTTTTCTGCAGGGAAAATCCGTCATCCTCACCATGGCTTCCCGGAGGATTCTGCTCGCGTGGTCCTGACATGGACTTCCTTGCTTAGCCAGATCCCTGAACCCTTCCCTCGACACCAATTACTGCCCTGTCATTACATTTCTTTCTTTAAACCTGTGAGTCCACATCGCATGGTGTGGCACTCAGCCTTTTCGTGCGTCTCCAGACTTTCTCTGAACCAGCTCCGTGCGGATCGTGTCTCTCAGCCTCCTCCTCACCCATCTCTACTACAGGTAATCCGATTCTGTCTTCTGCCTTATTAAGAGGCTGCCATGCTACACTTGGGGATCTACACTTACGCGGTCCTCCGAGGAGTGAAAATCTTGGAAGAACTCTTTGAGTCGCTCGTTTCTAATGTTGAAGAGAAATCTGTACAAGTGGAAGTTGACTTTACCAATTCTCTGCTCTCCGTTTATGTCAAGCAGTCTAAAGACGTGCCGCGAATGGCAGTACATAAATTGTTCTTCCAAATGATTCTGTTTTGAGAGAAACGTGAGACAGGGAATAGGGTTGGTGGTGCTTTGTAAACTTGTTACATCCAGGCTGGTATGGTCACCAGCCCCTTCCCTGGAAAACTAAAATCACAGAAGCTCGAGGTGAAAGGATTCCATCTTCCCCGGGGGGAGCCCGTTGTGCATCTGCATTCAGAGGGAACTTGGGCCCCTGCAGTGAGAAGCGCTGGACAGAACTCTAGTTGCCAGAGCGCATCTCCTCACATCCATAAAGGTCTTGTGACGAGACTGTGACCATACAAGGTCCTTTCCTCAAGGCGTGGAAACGTAACTGTACACAGAGGCTGTGTGTGACAAGCAGCAGTGCAAAGCAGGCATTTCTGGTCTCCGTCATTCATTCCTTTCAGAAAAGCTCAGAGCAAGAGGATCACAGAGGCAGTGAGCGTTTAAAAAGACTGCTTTTTTTTGCAAACCCCCAGACAGGACGCGAGAGAGGAAGGGCAGGCTGGAAACCACTGCAGCCAGGCAGATCTGGTTTTTATCAGAACATGAAAAAGACGAAAACAAGGAGAGGCCACCGTGGGGAGAGGCAGCGTAAATGCTCAACTTTTCCAACAGGATCCAAAGTTAATCACGCTCCCATTTTCGCCTCTTGTCTGTAGTGAAAGGGAAAGTTGGGGTTCCTGGCCCTAGCATCACGGTGCAGCAGCCAAGCCCCGCCTCCTGGGCCCCAGACCCTGACCTGGGACTTGCCTGATGTGACAGCAGGATGCAGACCAACAAGTAGAATTCCTCGAAGCCAATTTCACCCACAGCATTGCAGTCGAACATGTCAAACACCATCCTGATCTGTCTGGATTTCAAGTTAGTCACGTAACTGAGGAAGTGATAGAAGAGCACATCTGTGGAGGGAGGTCAGGGGACGGGTTACTCGGGAAGAGCTCCAGGTGCTGACCGGCTGGACACTCATGAGCGGTAGGACTGATGGAAGCTTACTGACCTGGGAAGAAGAATGCTATTCGTGTCTGGCTTCCCTACTGAGCCGTCCACGACTCCATTAGGACCGGAACTGCTTTTCCCTAAGCTGTGTGCGAAAGCGTCGGCCCCCGTGCTGTGCAGAGGGAGACAGCAGGGACGATGTGGTTCCTGGCCCCAACCACCTGCCCCGTGGGGCACACAGGCAGGAGTGATGACAGCCACGCTGGCTGATGAGCCAGGTGTGGTGGCACACACCTGTAATCCCAGCACTTGGGAGGCTGAGACAGGAGGATCGCTGTGAGTTCAGGGCCAGCCTGGGCTACATAGTGAGTTTAAGATCAGCCTGAACTACACAGTGAGATGTTGTCTCAAAAAGAAAGAACTCACCAACCACTTGGGTGGCTTGCCAAACGACCATTTCTGATTCAGGAAACCTCACATGTGGCTGAGTCCACATTTGGTTTTTTTCAGTACATGTTTGCATAATGATTACAACATTCATCATGGGGAGGACATAGCCCGTACATCTGAATTCCTTTCTCATTCCTTTTCTCCCCTCCTTCTGTATCTCCTTCCCTTTGCAAAAAGATCTGTGTGCGAGTCCACATTCCCACAAGCTCCTAGGTGAGGCTGCTCCTGCCTGTAGGTACTTCCAGACGCCTTGCAGAGTAGGGGTTCACAGGTGCCTGGTCTGATACACAGCCTCAGTCTTTCCACAAGGAGGCCGCATCTTCCCCCTGCTGGTGAGTGCATATTCACTCACATGCAGTCAAGGAGGAATTACAGGGAAGAACCAGGGAGGCTTCTGCCTGTCACTGCACTGGGGATGGAGGAAGCAACAGCGACTGGTTCCCCTTACTGTGTGTGGCCGTCCAGGGGTGTACATTCGCACCCCAGGGCAGCTAGAGGTTTTCAGAGCAGCTCTGTCTGCGTATGATTTCCTCTTGTCCACTGATTACAGAAACTATGTCCTGACTCCACTGAATATGAAAAACGCGTTTATGTAATTTAAAGTCCCAGCTGAAGCTAGCTGAGAACGTGGTGAACCCATTCATAATGGCAGGCTCGGGGACTCTGTGGCCCTTGATGTTACTTCTCCATCCAGGCCTGAGCCCCTGGGACCAACACATCATACACACACACACACACACACACACACACACACACACACACACACAGCGCTGCATGGGGAGTTCCTCCATGAGAAATCTCTTAGGCAAGATCTGGTAGCTACTTAATAAATGGTATCTTGAAACCAGCTGACCCTGACCCACCCAAGTCTCCAGGGCCTGAAGTCACCCCACCCTCAAGGCAAACCTTAGGCCACACCTTCCTGGTTTTAGGTCAGTGTCCCATCCCTTGGTGACCAGAAACATGAGCATTACTTTATCTCCAGGGCATTGCGTCACCAGGGACTGGTTTCGTTACTAGGGAGATGGGACTCTTAAGCAAGCCCTGGGATGAGGAGCCAGGGCTCGGAGTCAGTGAGCCCTGGCACAAGCTCGGCGTTCTCAGAGCTCAGGGTCCTGCAGCTGCCTTACCTAGGCAGGCTGAGGGGGAAGACGGGTAACACGGGGCATACAAAAAGGGTGGTCTGAAATTGTGAAAAAAGGGGGTCTACCTTTTATTCTTTTAGTGTGTGTGTGTGTACATGTGTGCGTGCACATTTATGCTGAGGCGGGAACCCTGGGCTTTCCACTGAGCTACCCCACCAGCCCCCAGCTTCATTATTATTTCTAGATGAAGAAATGAAACTGGGTGATAGAGAATGTTCTCCAGATGGAACAAGCAGTAATGATAGAACCTGGATGTACCCCAGAGCCCGAAGTTTCATCTTTTCTACTGAACTCCAAACTCTCAGTTGGTGGTTTCTCTCTGTGCTTCAGCTAGAAAATGAACACACACGGCTGAATGTGGTGGCATATGCCTGTAATCCCAGCTACTCAGCAGCCTGAGACAAGATGATCATAAATTCCAAGAGTGTCAGTTCCCATCCTCCTCCCCTGCAAAATGGGGAAGGGGTGCTTTGTGATGCTGGGTATTGAAGCCAGGACCTTCACAGTGAGGGACATCCTCAGCCCTCTTTTATTCTGTTGCTTTTTTAAAAAATTTTGAGGGGCTGGGGATTTAGCTCAGCGGCATAAGCGCCTGCCTTGCAAGCAGGCAGTCATGAGTTTGATCCCCGGTACCGATAAAAAGGAAAAAGACCAAAAAAAAAAAATTTTTTTTTGAGACAAGTTCTCACTAAGTTACTAAATTGCCCAGGCTGGATTAAAATTTATTATCCTGGGGCTGGGGATTTAGCTCAGTGGCATAAGCACCTCCCTGGCAAGTGCGAGATCATGAATTTGATCCCCCCCCCAAGAAATTTATGCTCCTCTTGCCTCAGCTGCCCAGAGTGCTGGGATTCCAGGCATGTGATATCATGCCTGATTTTCAAAATTAAAATTAAAAAAAAAAAAAAACATATAGGGCAGGGGTTTAGCTCAGTGGTCTAACTGCCTGCCTGGCAAGCATGAGCTTGTGAGTTTGATCCCTGGAGCCAAAAAAACAAAAGCCATGTAGAGAGGAAGGGGAGAATGAGTTCTGGGGTGACTAGGTGTGGTGACACACACCTGGAACCCTAGCACTCGGCAGTCCGAGGCAAGAGGATCACCAAGAGTTTGAGGCCAGCCTGGACTACATAGAGAGATTGTCTCAAAAAAAAAGAAAGAAAGAAAAAGGAAAAAAAAAAACTGGGCGTGTAGAGTAGAGGGCTAAGTGGAGCACGTGCTTAGTTAGCACGCCCGAGGCCCTAGGTTCAATATCCAGACATAAATACATACATACAAATACATACCACACATAAGTACCTACATATCTGTTAGCTAAGCAGTCTCTGGTTCTGCAGGTTTTCCTGTGCATTTGTTATCAACCAGACACCAACTCCAAGGGACGGTGGGGAAGTACTGACCATTTAAGGTGTTTTTGTGGTGTACATCAAGAAGGCGAAAATACTCCAGTAAGGCCTTCACATTCCTCACGGATAATAAGCAGTATATTTTGTCCAGATAGAGGTACCACACAAAGGACCCTTCCTTCACTTTCATCTTGGGACGCTGTAAGCCGGCGCCCTGGCAACCTGCAATACAACAGAGAATTCTGCCTTAGAACTGGAATGCTGGACGAAATGTCTGAGAAGATCTGGCAGGAGAGGTTAGAGCAAACTGTCCAAACTGTGCGTACTGAAGGAAAAGTGCGTCCTGCCCTCCCAGTTCTCCGGCCTTGCTGTCCACAGGGTTGTCCGTCACCAAAATGGGGCTTCTCAACAAAATCACAGACCGTGCAAAAGTGAGCAAAGGGTTCTGCTGCATAGGGAAATTTCACTGTGCAGCCAAAGTGTTTCCTGGAGTATTTATAACCCAAATGCAGTTATTAGTCAAGACAAGAATAGGAAGATACAAAAGCTGTAAAAAAAAAAATCCTAACATAAGTACAGTAAAATAAAGCCACAGAGAAGGAATTTTTTAAAGGGCCAAAGTGCAAATCAGTGAATCTACAAAGCAGCACATTTGATTAGAATAACTAAGACTTTTACTTTGTGTAAGGGAATACTTTAACCATACTGAAAGGTAGAGGGATTCGTGTAATAAAGCCTCATGCACTCATCGAGCTGGACAATTGTCAACTCTGAAACAATCTTGCTTTGTTTACATTCACTTCCCTCTGATGTCACCACTGGGTTATCTTGAAGTAAGTCCCAGACAAAACAGCTCTCTGTATATATTCATAGATCTGAATATTTCAAAAAGCAAATGACTTGTTTTTGGTGATATTAGGGGTTGAATGCAGAGTCTTGACTCAGAGCTACATCCTCTCCTTTTTGAGACAACAGTTGCTAAACTACCCAGACAGGATTTAGACTTATGATCCTCCTGCATCAGCCTCCTAGAGTTCTGGGATGACAGGTATGTGCCATGATACCTGGGCTTTTTTTTCGAGACAGTGTCTCACTGCGTAGTCTAGGCTGGCTTTGAATTTACTGTGTACCCTTGCCAGTTCTCAAACTTATAGCTTACCTCCTGAGTGCTAGAACACACACACGTACCTTTGGGCCTAGCTGATGATTTTTTTTAAGGTCACCACTTACCATTATCAGACCTGAAGATAAATAATAATAATTCCTGAATGCCATCAAATACTCAATCAGTATTCAACTTTTCCTAGTTATTTTTGTTTTTGTTGTTTGTCTTTTTGAGACAAGTTCTTGCTATGCAGTTCAGGGTGGCCTTGGGCTCACTTTGTACCCCAGGGTGGTCTCGAACTTGCAGCGATCCTCCTGCCTCAGCCTCCTGAATGCTGGGATTACAGGAGTGTGCCACCATACCTGGCTTCCCAGTTGTTTCTTAAAAGTGTAATAGATGTTTAGTTAAAGTCAGGAACCCAACAGATAATTATTGTTTCCAATGTTTCTTATATTTCTCTAGTTTTTTCCCTTATTTTTCATACAATTTATTTGTTGAAGAATCCAAATGGTCATGTAGATGAAAATGCTCTGCTTTTTCCAGATTTATTCTCAATATGTTAGCACGCTGCCCTGTCTTTTGTACTGTAAGCCAGTAGCTAGATCTAGAACAAATCAATAAAAACAGACAAACTTGCCAGTTACACTCGTGGAATCCCGGCTTCTAGGGAAGCTGAGGGAGGAGGATTACACATTCCAGGCCAGTCTGGGCAATTTAGTGAGGCAGACAGACAGACAGCAGGAATGCAAGTCTGTGTAAGTCCCTGGGGTCAATCCCCAGTACTGCAAAAACAAGAACCACAACAAAACAGACAAACTTTTGCAAATGAAGGGAAAATTTTTTAAAATTAAGACTGAAAGAGTAAACATGATTAATGTTATGAAAGGCTTAAAATGCATGTAAGAAGCCAGGTGTGATGGCTCACGCTTGTAATCCCAACAATCAGGAGGCTGAGGCAGGAGGATTGTTGAGAGTTCAAGACCAGCCTGGGCTACAAAGTGAGCTCAAGGCCAGCCTGAACTGCATAGTGAGACCTTATCTCAAAAAGACCAAAAAAAAAAAAAAAAAAAAAAAAAATACATGTAAGAATACTAGGTAAGCCAATAGGCCCATGTTTAGCATACGATATGACCATCCACCAACTCCAAGTCAGCTCTGCATTTTGCTTCCTCTTGGCACATGGCAGCAGAGATGCAGAGTAACCAAGTGAACTGATCTTGGTTGGGGGCAATGCTCAGGGAGAGGAGGTGAGCCCGGAAAGCCAGCAGTCCTTGGGAGAAAGTATGGGCCTGGCTGGGCACTTCAGGGATTCCAGTGTTACCCTCCCACAGTGACTGGCGAAGAGGCAACCACTGGAGACCACTGCAGGGTGGGAGTGGACCAGACGCAGGCGCCTCTGAGAAGCCTAAGCTCAGGCTGGGATGGCAGAGGCGCTGCCTTCCACAGGAAATAACCAGATCCTGTGAGTATCATCAGGAATCCAACAGTCCAGCTGAATCCCTGCCCTGCCACCTACAGCCAGCAGAGAACAGAGGGTTGATGCCTTTCCCATTTGCTGACATTAGCAAGGACACATCTTGACTGAAGGGAAAACACAGTCTGGAGTGAGTGGACAGACGGGTCTTGAGTGCATGGAAGGTACCTCAAGAACCCATTGGCCCAATTTCCCTAAAGAACATAGATGCAAAAAACCCTCAATAAGATACTGGCAAACAGAAATCAGCAAATAATCAAGAAGATTATACACCATGACCAAGTAGGGTTCATCCCAGGGATGTAGGGGTGGTTCAATATACATAAATCCACAAATGTAATACACCATATTAACAGAACCAAGGACAAAAATCATGTGATCATCTCAATTGACATAGTTTTTGACAAAGTCCAGCACTGATTCATATAAAAACCATACAGAAAATTAGAAAAGATGGTGTTTTCTCATCTGATAAAAGCCTTCTATGACAAACCAGCCAACATCATATTAAATGAACAAAAACTGAAAGGTTTCTCTCTAAAATCAGGAACAAGACAAGGATGTCTGCTGTCACCACTCTTATTCAACATAGTCCTAGAAACTTTAGCCAGACAAGAGAAAGACATAAAAAGAACAATGGAAGGCTGGGGATTTCACTCAGTGGCATAAGCACCTGCCCAGCGAGCACAAGGCCATGAGTTCAATCTCTAGTACCAAAAAAAAAAAGAACAATAGGAAAAGGAGTTAAATTATCCTTATTTGCAGATGACATGAAACTCTACATAGAAGACCCTCAAAACTCCACTAAAATACTGCTAAATTTAATAAGCAAATTCAATATTGTAACAGGATACAAAGTCAGTGCTCAAAAATCGATAGCCTCCCGGTACATAAATAACAAACTCGCTGAGAGAGAAATTAGGGAAACAGCACCTTTTACAATAGCATCCAAAAAAATGAAATATCTAGAAATCAACTGAATGAAGGATGTAAAAGACCTCTACATTGCAAATTACAGCACTCTGAAAAAGGAGATTGAAGAGGATCTCAGAAAATGGAACAGTAGCCCTTGCTCTTGGACAGGAAGAACAAACATAGTGGAAATGGCCATATTCCCAAAACTGTTATAAGATTCAATGCAAGTCCGATAAAAATTGCAACAGTAGGGGCTGGGGATTTAGCTCAGCGGCATAGCGCCTGCCTTGCAAGCAGGTAGTCGTGAGTTCGAGCCCTGGTACCGATAAAAACGAAAAAGACAAAAAAAAAAAACCCTGCAACAGTATATCTCACAGAATTAGAGAAAACAATCCTAAAATTCATTTAAAATCAGAAGAGACATAGGAAAGCAAAGGCAATTCTGGGCAACAAAGGCAAGACGGGGCATCACAATTCCTGACTTGAAATTATGTTATAAAGCTGCTGTGATTTAAAAACAAAACAAAACAAACCTCCCCAAAACAGCATATTGCTGGAAAAATACAAAACAAAACAAAACAAAGCAAAACAAATAAACAAAAAAATAGACCCAAAGATCAATGGAACAGACTAGAAGAGGCAGAAACAACTCCAGACACGCTCAGCCATCTTATCTTTTTTTTTTTTTTGTCTCTGTCTTTTTGAGACAGGGTCTTGCTCTGCAGTTCAGGCTGCCTTCAGCTCATGTTGTAGCCCAGACTGCTCTCGAACTCTCAAGGATCCTCCTGCCTCAGCCACCCTAGTGCTGAAATTATAGGCTTGTGCTGCCACGTCCCAGCCACCTTATCTTTGACAAAGGTGTCAAACACATTCACTGCAAGAAAGATAAACTCTTCAATAAATGGTGCTGGGAAAACTGGCTCTGCAGATGCTAAAGATTAAAATTGGACCCACATCTTTCATCATACACTAAACCAAATTCAAAATGGATCAAAGATCTAAATATTAAAACAGAAACATTAAATCTGCTGCAAGATAAAATAGGCAAAGACTTTATGAATAAAACTCTAATTGCACAGGAACTATCATAAAGAATCAATTACTGGGGCTGGGGTTTTAGCTCAGTGGCATAAGCACCTGCCTTACAAGCGCGTGGTCGTGAGTTCAATTCCTGGTACCGGTAATAAATAAATAAATAAATAAAATTTAAAAAAAAAGAATCAACTACTGGGACCTCATCTTATTAAAAACCTTCTACACAGGAAGAAAAACCACCAACAGAGCGAACAAATAACCCATGATGTAGGAAAAAATGTTTGCCAGCTGTTCCTCAGACAAAGGATTACCATCGAAAACATAAAGAACTCAAAAAAATCAGACCTCCCATCTGAGATGAATATAAACTTCTTGCATGAAGAAATACAAACAGCAAATAAGTACATGAAAAAGTGTTTGACATCACTGGTCATTCAAGAGATACCAATTAAAACAACACTGAGACTCCATCTTACTCCAGAAAGAACGGCTATGAACCAGAAATCAACCAATAATAAATGCTGGAGGGGCTGTGAGGGAAAAGGAACCCTTCTCTACTGTTGGTGGGATTGCAGACTTGTGCAGCCATGGTGGAAATCAGCATGGAGCTTCCTCAGAACACTAGGATTAAATGTTCCATTTGACCCTGCTATTCCCCTTCTGGGTATCTTCCCAGAAGAATTAATAACATTG